GAGCAAAATGGAGCAGGAAGGTGATTAAGGGATCTGGGAATGAGGAGGAGTCCCCAGTCCCGGTAGGGGCAAGGAGTCTACTGAGCACCAGGGGCATATGGAGGGGAAGAGCACTTCAAACACAGTGTTGGGTGAATGCAAAGGCCCTGAGGCAGGAATGTAGCTGGCCTGTTGGAGGGATAGCAAGAGGTCATGGTGGCTGGAGGGGGGTAGGTGGTAAGGAGTCAGAACGGTCAGAGGTTAAACCGTGTGTGTTCTTAGAGGCGTTTGAGGACCTTGGAGGGCTTTAAACAGAGGAGTGACATAATCCAGATCACCCTTTAAAATACGGTTTCTGCCTCCTGTCTCAGCTCTATCCCCTTCCATCCATACACCTGTCCATCCCACTCACCTATTCAATGTGATATTTGCTGAGTCCCTGCTATATGCCTGGCATTGCTCCAGGTGATGGAAATACAGCAATGAAAAGGTACCTGACCTCAAGGAGCTTGTATTCTAGAGGCACGCAATCCCCTGGGATCTTCCATGATGATGGAATGTTCTAGATCTGCACTGTCCATTCGGGAGCCCCTCACCACCTGTGGCTATTAAGTTTTTGTTTGTTTCTTTTAATATTTGTGTGTTTTTTATTTTATATTTGAGAGAGAGAGAGAGAGAGAGAGAGAGAGAGAGAGAGCGCACGAGCAGGGGAGGGGCAGAGAGAGACAGAGACAGAATCAGAAGCAGGCTCCAGGCTCCAAGCTGTCAGCACAGAGCCTGACACGGGGCTCAAACTCACGAGCAGTGAGATCATGACCTGAGCCAGAGCCGGATGCTTAACTGACTGAGCCACCCAGGGTCCCCATGACTATTAAGTTCTTGTTTTTTCTAAGTAATCTCTACTCCCAACATGGGGCTTGAACTCATGACCCCAAGATCAAGCATCACATGCTCTACCAACCAAGCCAGCCAGACACCCCCAGAAATGACATTTCTTAATGATGGGCTATCTCAGGTTGGGTTCCCAGCATCCCTCCTCTGAGTATGCAGGAGGTTTATCAAGGAGTGTCCTTAGGCTCAATACCTGGGGAAGGAACCGGAATGCAAACTCACACATTGCAGCTGAGCCCACGGAAACTCCTGACCTAGCTCTTCTGAGTTGTCCCCCTGGGGTTGAACTGGCTGAACTTTTAACCTGCCCTCAGTCAACACTTGCACACAGGCTGCCCTGGGAAGAGCATGACCTTGCACAAGGGAGGTTACTCCATAGCTGAGGACATCCCTGATTTGGGACTGATGGCTGATGGCTCACTGCAGACAGCATTGGCCAGAGCTGGGCAGGTCCTCTGCAGAAGGGGGATCCGGGGACACATCTCCATCTCCAACACTGAGTGGCTCAGCAGAGACCAGGGAAGGGGGATTCCACACAAGCAAGGCGCCAAGGCTGGAGTCAGAGTGGTAGCTTCAAGAACAGGGCTGTGCCTGGGTTGAGGGGGCAGAGGTGGAAAGTTTGTGAGGGAAGGGAAGTATGTCTGTCTGTCTCTGAAGTCTTGTGTGGCAGCTGGGGGCAGGAGAGCCAGGTTTCCTGTGGCCTGTTTGTATGTGATTAAGGAAGGATGGGTCATCTGGTTGGTCTTGATCTACAGTGGAAAAGATCTCCCATGGGATCTTCAGGCTTCTCGAATGTCTCTGCAACCTCGTTTCAGACAATCAGATTGGTACCCAATGAGGCTGAATGGTGAAAATCTATTCCTGATGTCTGCATGCAGTGTGGGATAGGGGTAGCAGTTGCTCAGAGGGTTTCATGAAAGAGGAGGAGGGGGGAAGGGGAGGGGAAACGAACAATAATAACACAAGGATGCATCTGGGCTCACAGGGAAGCAGATTCTGTAATCGATTACTCATGTCTGCCATGGGCATGGGGAAGGAATAGTTGAGGTAGTCTTGCAATGAATTTTCTTTTCCTTTTTTTTTTCCTTTTTTAATGTTTATTTATTTTTTAGAGAGAGAAAGACAGAGTGTGAGTGGGGAGGGACAGAGAGGGAGGGAGACACAGAGTCCAAATCTGAGCTATCTGCACAGAGCCCAATGCGGGGTTCGAACTCACGGACCGCAAGATCATGACCGGAGCCGAAGTCGGACCCCTAACCGACTGAGCCACCCAGGGGCCCCCTTGCAATGAACTTTCTACCCTATGTTTACTTACTAATTTGTTTATTAATGATTTCATAAGTACCTAAAAATGCTCCACCCAAATCTATGGTTTCCAGGAAAGAGATAGCAGGATGCAGTTCCTTCCAAGGGGCCCCTGGGCTGAGAATCTGACCTCCTACCAGGAGATTCACCATTCATTCCAGGTCCCTCACCAAATCCCATTCCAGGAAGCACAAAGGCAGCCCCCTGGGGGATTAACCGTGGGCTCCTTTACTGGTGTTTAGGCCACATTTCCCCCCTCTGTTCTTCACAAAGGACCAAGTGATTAAGCAAAATGGCGGACAAGGTATTTCTAAAGGTGATTAAGCTCGAAAGGAAAAGACGAAGCAGGTTCCACACTTGGTATGTCCGTCTTCCTCTGAAGATGTTTCTCCTCCCCTTGAAAATAGAATCAAAAGCCAGCATTCAGGTGACAAGTGTGCACTGACTCAAAGTGTGATGTGAATAAAAAAGTATTGCATTGGCTTCCAAGACTGAGTCAGAAGAGGAGGTGGCCGAGCCAAGAGTGGTTAGACCTACCCCTGCCCCTCACCTGGCTCATGGCGGCCGATAAGGCACTGAACCCTGAGCACCTTAACCTCACCGCCACTGTATTAGACTTGCTGAAAGAGGGACCCAAAGGAGAGAGTTGTGCTCTGGTGGACAAGAGTCAGAGGCTGGGCACTAAGAATGTTCTTCATTCTAGCCAAGCCTGGGGACGACTTGTGGGTGATTTTTAATAGCCACCCTGTTAAGATGGTACCCAGAGCCCCAGACCTATTCCGTTGCCTCTCTTCTGTTCCAGGAAGATGATTTTGATGGCCAAGGCAAAATTCGGGAGGAATCACTAAGTTTGGTGTCATCCCTAAGCCACATGCATCATAAGGGCAAATATTGCCAGAAACACCAGAGCCATCCACATATCTGATGAAAGGGTTCTGTTTGTTAAATCCCAGACATCCTGAGTGATTAGGTCAGTGGGCCCACACAGGGGGTCTGGGGAGAATACTGGAATCAGAAGAAAAGACTGGAAGGGAGAGAGAAGTTGGTCCTGTGGAGAGTTGAGGACTTACGTGCAGAGGTGGGGGAAGGACCCATGCAACGAGGAGGAGAACTGAACCCTACCTTTTTCTCTGTTGGCTACTCAGTGGGTAGCAGGTCAGTAACCTGGTGCATGGCTTTTGGGGCCCAGTGAAGTCCTGGTCATCTCCTTTCAAGGTCATCTTTCCTTCTCACGCCCCAGTTTGAGAAATTCCATTCTCCTACTTTGCACACCCAAGGCTTCCCAGACCTAACACTTGGCACGGCACCTTTCTGGGTCCAAAATGGTTCATCCACCTCTTACTAATCTGGGAAGCTGTCCCCGTCCCTCCCCCACCCCCACTTCACCTCATCTCTGGGACAGGGAGCTCACCTTGCTGGCAACCCCAGCGAATCGTGCTGGAAGGGACGGATGTCACCTTCACAGCGGCATTGCCCAGGTATGCTATGCACCTCACCTTTGCATCAGCAGTACACCCAGGTGTGGTCCTGGTCATAGTTGTAAGAGGTTGCACACCACGTAAGGTTGTGCTTTGATCCTTTGCTGGTACAGTTAAAATAATTCTTGTTTTTGTAGTTGAATGGGAAGTGGCAGGGAAAGCCAGGAACCAGTGAAGAAATTCCTAGGGAGTAGAAGAGGATAGGAAAGTGGTTACCCCTGTGCCTTGATGCTGTGGTGAAGGCTTAGACTTCAGAGCCCCCTCTAAAATCAAAACTGGGTCGGGGCACCTGGGTGGCTCAGTCGGTTAAGTGTCTGACTTTGGCTCAGGTCATGATCTCACAGTTCGTGGGTTCGAGCCCCGTGTCGGGCTCTGAGCTGAGAGTGTGGAGCCTGGAGCCTGCTTCAGATTCTGTGTCTCCCTCTCTTTCTGCCCCTCCCCTGCTTGCTCGCGGGTGAGTGCGCGCTCTCTCTCTCTCTCTCAAAAATAAATAAACATTAAAAATTGTTTAAATAAAAACTGGGTCCACATGGCCCATGGGTCTGCTCAGAGACTCCCATTAGAGGAAGGAAATACTGACTTAATGCTAAATGCCAGAGGGGTTTTCTTCCCTGGGAAGCTATTTGAGTTTAGCTCTGTGGGGTGTGGAAATGGGGCACAAGGGCAGCGTGAACACACAAGGGGTCCTGGCAGTGGGAGAGAGGAGGACAGCGTCATGTCAGCAGGGGAGCCAGGGAAGCAAGTGGGAAGCGCGGAGAGGACATCTTACAGGGAGTCGTCTTCATTCACAGATCCTGAATGTGCGAATTCTCCACTCGCTGAAGTGGATTTGGAACCCAAATCAATATTGGCCGGGCTTGTGCGGCGCAGCTCTCGAGCAAAACGCGCCTAGTGCTGAAGAGCTGTCCAGGGTCCTGAAGTCCAGGCCGCCTGGGATGTCCTTTATGGGGACCCATCAGGTTACATTTACAGAGAAATGTTCTATTTTTCTTCCTCGTGGGCTTCTTCCCTTATCACCCACCAAATGTACACTTGTTTTCCTTTGTTAAGAAAATTATCCAAAACACACAATTGGGGTCAAAAGATCCTGACCTTATGTCCTCCTAAAGCACTGTCTAAACAGTCCCTAAGGGCCATCTGGTTCTCTAGCTCAGTGTCAGCAAACTTTTTCTAGAAAGGGCCAGATGGTAGTTATTTTTAGCTCCGTGCCTCATACAGCCTCGGTCTTTATATGTGGGCCCTGGGATTTGAATTTCGTATAATTTTTGCCCGTCACAAAATAGGATCCTTCTTCGGACTTTTTTCGACTGTGTAGAAAGTTGGGTTGGGGGCCAAGAGAAACATTGGCCCAGACTTAGCCCATAGGCAGGAGAGAGTTTGCAGGCCCCTGCTCTAGGGAAATAGAACTTTATCTGACTTACTACCTGCTATTGATTGGAGGCCCCAACTCTGTAACTTGTAAAAGATTGATACATTGTGAATGATTTTTGTTTGGTAAAGATACTGATAATTTCTGTCTGGTAGACAACCCCAAAGGTTTGATTGCCCTTTGTGTTATTTTATTTTTATTTATGTATTTAATACGTATGTATGTATGTATGTATGTATGTATGTATTTAAGTAGGCTCCATATCCAATGTGGGGCTCAAACTCATGACCCTGAGACCAAGAGTTGGATTCTCCACCAAATGAGCCAGCCAGGCATCCCTTGATTGCCCTTTAGGTGTTACCAGATTGGGTGGCTAACTTAACAATCTTGCTTCAGCTCAACATTCTTTTCACCGACTTTATGTAGTTCTTAAAACGTCCCTCGAATTGGCTTCACTATCCTTGTTATTCCCTTATTAGCAATTTTTTTTTAAATCTTAGCGTGGATTTACTCTATGTTTGTGCAAGCAAGTACTTAGGTGTTTCACATTTTGAAAACCTTATATTGACCCCTTTCTCGTGGATCTTAAGCGGCCCGCATCTTGCCCATCACGCTATCGTATTTTTCGTGCTATTTGCTCATCAGATATCCACGAGGGTGGGACTCCGTCTTACTCATCACCACAGGCCCACCGCCCAGCACAGTGGCTGGCACGCAGTAGGGCTGGAGTCAGTGTTTGCTGGGTAATTGAGTGAAGGAGTCTGCCTATGTCCACCCAGCCCCCTTCCCCGTATTACTAGTGTCGGCACAGAGGCTCCACTTTCCGTCCTCATCCATGTTCTCCGTGGTCGGGCACCACAGTCTGTTGCTTTCACTCTCAATGCATTCAAAGATCATGCTATTTCTGTAGACGGAGGGGAAGACACAGGGCTTGCTGAAAGAATTTCCCCCATACTCTGAAAATAATGATGGAAAGGTCACAGGGACAAGAAGAGATAACAAAAAGAGCTTCCATGTATCATGCATCAAGTAGGTGCCATGCTTTATCTCAGGAAAGGCAACACGACATTGAACATGCTCCAGTTCAGTTCCTGGTGATGTTATTATTTCCATCCACTTTGCGTGTAAGTGAGAACCCAAACCATCAACAACAACACCATTTACAACAGAGTTGCTCTGCAGGCTTCATCAACGGAGTTATTGTGAGATCTAAGGTTAACGTTGGTTTAGGGTTAAGGATACAAGTGATGGATGGCTACGACAAAGATAAAATTCAAGGTTTTATATGGCATTATGGTTTTTTGAGTGCTAAGGGATAAACATAAATAAGGCTTTAGCAGGAATAAGTGTGCTCATGGATAGGTGCCTCACGTGAATTTTCATCTCAATGGAGGCAACACTGTTTGGTGAGGGAGCAGGGGCATCAGAGCCATATGGACTTGCATTCAAATGCAACTCTGACATCACTTAGGAGTGTGACCTTGGACAGGATTTAATTTTACTGCGACCACTTATTGAATGTGGAAAAAATAGCATCACATAGGGCTTCTATGGAAACATTCAGTGGGATGTGGTATATAGAGTCTAATACAGAGAGGGCTCCAGAATGAATGGAGGTCATTAAGAAGTTAAGAGTAGGGGCCCCTGGGTGGCTCAGTCGGTTAAGCATCCGACTTCGGCTCAGGTCATGATCTCACAGTTGGTGGGTTCAAGCCCCGTGTCAGGCTCTGTGCTGACAGCTCAGAGCCTGGAGCCTGCTTTGGATTCTGTGTCTCCCTCTCTCTCTGCACCTCCCCTACTCATGCTCTGTTTCTCTCTGTCTCAAAAATAAAATAACCATTAAAAATTTAAAAAAAAGTTAAGAGTAGGGATGCCTGGGTGGCTCACTCAGTTATGCATCTGACTCTTGATTTCAGCTCAGGTCATGATCTCACAATTCATGGAATCCAGCCCTGCATTGGGCTCTGCACTGATAGCATGGAGGCTGCTTGAGATACTCTCTCTCTCCTCTCTCTATGCCCCTCCCTCACTCATGCTCATTCTCTCTCTCTCAAAATAAATAAACATTTTTAAAAAGAATAAGTTAAGGGACACCTGAGTGGCTCAGTCATTTAAGCGCCCGACTTTGGCTCAGGTCATGATCTCTCAGTTCGTGAGTTCAAGCCCCACATCAGGCTCTGTGCTGACAGCTCAGAGCCTAGAGCCTGATTTGGATTCTGTGTCTCCCTCTCCCTCTGCCCCTCCCCTGCTCACACTCTGTTTCTCTCTCTCTGTGTCTCTCAAAAATAAACATTAAAAAAAATTTTAAGAGTAGGCATAGAATTAAGATGAAATCTGAAGCCACTTTGAAATGCAGGTAGGGTCCAGCTCTGGGTGAATCCACGTATTGCCAAGTCTAGCAATAGAAATAGTTGAAAACCAATGTCAGGACTGCAGCCCATGGTACTGGTTCTTAGGAAAACTAGATTTTCCATGCTGACATTAGGCACTCGGGGGAACATGGCCTTAGGACATTCCTGTCTCCTGTGGTTGTCCTAATGTATTCTCCAAGAACACACTTAGTTTCTAGAAGTATTGCTCTCAATGCTCTGCTCTCCCCCATGCCACCATCCCCTCAGAATGATCATTGCTCTCCCCCACCCGCCTCCCCACCAAAACCCCCATCCCTGCTCCAGTGCCTTACCATTTGTTTCACAGTATTTCCACTGCTGCTTCTCATCAAAGCTGGAGGTGACGGAACACCACAGCTTTCTGAAGAAGCCACCCTCCGTGATGCAGTTGTTATGGTACCTTCCTCGATAGATGAAGGGGAAGATGCATCGTGGGTAATCTGTATGGAAAGGAGTCTGTGAGTGGTTTGACTTTCTCTAGTCATTCACAGAACAGTCACTCAATCATCCATCCATGCATTCATCCATCGATCTATCCATCCATCCATCCGTCAGCCATCAAAATACAGGACAAGCATCAAGTTTTAAAGATATTTTATTCATTCACTTTATTAAGCATGTTGTAAAGAAAGCCTACTTGTGTACTTTCATGCTCAAAGCTTCCCCCAACAGGGCTCCCAACCTCAACAACGCCGCCCCCCAACCTGCTGAACAAACTTAATATACTTCAGTGTCTTAAAAATGAATCTCTTAGAATCACCAACAGACCTGTAGGAATCAAGTCAAGACAAAGAATTTTGATGGTTTACGACCAACAGGTGAAGTCAAGATCTTGGCATACAAAAAAAAAAAAAAAAAAAAAAAAAAAAAAAAAAAGTTGCCATTACTGAAAAAAAGTCAAATATCAGTGAAGTAAAATATAGTAACATTACCATCCAGGTGCTGGTGCCTTATTGCAACTTTCATAGATTGAATTTCCCACCACAAATAGTACAACAAATATGGTTTTGGACATTATGTTTATAGTGGGTGGATTTACTCACACTCAGTGAGGGAATCAGGGTCATTTGGAGGTGATGGAGGGGTTGTCATAGATGAAGGGATGAGGGAAGCCTTCCTTGAGCAGGTGGCACTTGAGCAGAGGCTTGCACAATGTGGAGAAGCCAGCCATGCAAAAATTGGGGGAATTGAGGTCCAGATAGAGGGAATAAAAGTGGGAAGTGTTCAAGACAGGAAGGAGTTCAGAATATTCAAGAAGCATGACAGCCATTGTAGCTGGAGCTCATCAGGCAAGGAAGAGAGTGGAAGAAGGTGAGGACAGAGAAGGGCAAGGTCTTGTAGAGCTTTGCAGACCAAGGTGAGGTGTCTCCTCCTTCTTCTTCCCTTCCTCTCCCTCCACCCCCCTCCTCCCACCTCCTCCTCCCCCTCCTCCTCCTTCTTTCTTCTTCTTCTTCTTCTTCTTCTTCTTCTTCTTCTTCTTCTTCATCTCCTCCTCCCCCTTCTCCACCTTCTTCTTCTCCTTCTTCTCCTTCTCCTCCTTCTCCTTTCCTCAAGTTGTAGTTCTTTTGGACGTTCCAGATATTAACCCCTTATCAGGTATATTATTTGCAAATATTTTCTTCCATTCCATGCGTTGCCTTATCATTTTATTGATGGCTTCTTTTGCTACACAGAAGCTTCGTAGTTTGATGTAGTGCCACTTGTTTATTTTTGCTTTTGATTTTGGTGTCAAACCCAAACAACCATCACTAAGACTGATGTCTTCCAGCTTACCCCCATGTTTTCTTGTAGCAGTTCTGGGGTTTTGCATCTTATGATTCAAGTCTTTAATAATTTTGAGTTGACCCTTGTGTATGGCATAAGAGAGGGGTCCAGTTCCATTCTTTTGTATGCGGCTGTCCAGTTTTATCAACACCACTTATTGAAGAGATCATTCTTTCCCCATTGCACATTCTTGGCTCCTTTGTCATAAATTAATTGACCATATATGCATGGGTTTATTTCTGGGCTCTCAATCTGCTCCATTAATCCATGTGTCTGTTTTTATGCCAATACCATACTGTTTTTATTACTATAACTTGTAATATAGTCTGAAGTGTGATGCTTCCTGCTTTGTTTTCCTTTCTTAGGATTGTGTTGGCTCTTCGGGCTCAGGATATTCTTCTAAGTGTGCTGGTGAGCCATGCAGGGGCACAAGCAGGGGCAGGGGAGTAGTGTTCCATGGTTTCACATTCCGAAAAGGTTACTTTGACTGATGTGTGGGGAATTGATTTGGAGGGAGGTGGGGGGGATTTGAGGAGCCCAGTTAACACATTTGGGGGGGGGGAGAACTGATGGTGATTTGGAGAAGGATGGGAGCAGTGGAGGCAGCTCCTTCCCAGAAACTGAAGCTAGAATCGATTTTTGAAGGTAGAACCAACAGGCTAATTGGTGGATTACATGACGGGTGGGAGGGAAAGAATTAGGGCTGTTCACAGGTGGTGAGAAACCCACCACTAGGGGTCCAAAGAGCAGTTCTTAGTTCAGAAGCCAGGGCTGAGGGAGGCGATGCCAATGGCAAACCATCTATACAGGAGCCCTCTGTGATTGGCTGAAACAGGTTTAATCAGGTGCAGGTTGTTAAATCTCTAGACCCTGATTGTGTCTGTATCCGCACTTTGGGCAGAGTTTTGTCTCCTCTTGTGTGTCTTAAGCATGTTTGGGGACCTCTTTTCTAGAAATTAAAAAAAAGTTTGTTTCTAATTTTCGGGTTCAATTTCAACCAGTAGATCCTGATTTGCATCATTTAAACTAGAGCGATATTTTCAACTAGAGATGGTATTGCTTCCAAGCTTGGGTTTTTGTTTTTATTGTTGTTTTTTTTGTTCCCCACCCCACCCCCAGTGTAATGGGGCTTCTTTGTAGTCATTTTTAGCTCTTATAATCAAAGAGATTCCTCTTGGAGGTATGAGCCTCTGGCCACCTTTTAATATCTTTTTAGGTTAGTTATGATCATGGTGCTTTTTATTATCAATTTATTTTGTTTTATTTCTGTCTTATATTGCAGCTAAGGGATTGTGTTGATTTATTCTGAAATTATGAATTTGGAATAGGTAACGTTATGTATACATTTTATTTCAGGATAGTAAAAGAGTTGTTATACTTATTATCAAAGGGAGCCTTTGATCTAAGAGAGTCAAGAGCAGTGATACAAGTGAAAAGAAAATCCTAAATATTCAAAATCTGGCTGCTCGTAGGAACAATTAAAATGTCCAACAACAGGATATTGGTTAAAACAAACAAAATGCCTTTTGTCCTGTGCAGAAAAATTAGAAATCATCTAATTGTCAAAAATGTCTTGGGCTTTGAGAAGCAGCAAACACAGTCTGTCAAATCCCTTCTCTGTTACACTTTGTTGTCTGTTTTTCCTTATTAATTTAGAAAATTAGGAAAGAGACAAAGAATACAGAGGTTCCCTGTGGCCCTGTAACCTCTCTTTCATTCAGAAAGCACCATTTTTAACACTATCATTGTCATATTATTAGCCATTGTTAGCATCCCGTATGTGGCCTCCGCACTTTCTATGCACACACACAGATGTCGTAACTCGTCTTCAAAAATATGATCACATTCTACACATCCACACATTCTCTTTTATAATCCATCGTTTGAGGAGGTCGGCTGAGGGGACAGCATGGCATCACTCACCCTCCTCCATACAGTACTTCCACTGTCCATCGTAAACGGCTTTTGTCGAACACCAAGGGGACAGGCTGTTGGTTTTGATACAAGAGAAGTAAGTAGACCCCTTGTAGACGAAGGGAAACACACATGAGTCCTTCTGACCTGGAGGAGAGAGAGACAAATAGAAGGGTTTCATCACAAATGAATGAGCCAAGGGTGAGTCTTGCTTTGGTTCTCGTGGGTGGTTCTGAAGGTGACACATGCAGTGTTGGCATCCAACTTTCTTGTGACAAATAAGGGTGTGTCCAGTTTACGTGGAGACCAAGAGCACAGGGAAAGACTCTCATAAATCATAAAGGCAACTGGAATAAAGTTTTCCTCCAGACCATTAGAGCACCGTCAATGTCACACCAGACACTCTCGGGTCATGACATCACAGTAGGTAATGGAGCGACACACGTCAAATAATGCTGCAACACAGACCAGAAAACAATTTCATATTTCAATGCTTTTTTCAATCCTTCTGATTACACAAAAGAGAAGACTTCAATTTAATGCGAGTATTTCTCTACCATGCCTCTAATTTTTAATAATCTCCCTTTTTAACAACAACAACAACAACAAGCAGGGCAGGACCCAGGCTCAAAGCCTTATTGTTGCACCCCATAGAATTTAGGAATAAGATTTCCTTTTCATAGCATTTACTTTTGTGTGCAATTTCTATTTATGGCAAGTTAGTAACGCTTACAGATTACAGAGCTAATGTTAACTATTCTTTAAAGATAAAGGTGTTAGAGTGAAGATAAAGGTGTCAAAGAGTACATTTCAAGAAGGTTGGGTAAATGATAGTGCTGGTGGCATGCAGATGTGGCAAATACTGAGGGGTACTTTTTGTATTCCTCTGTGTGAGGACAGGACTTTGTCTTTGACACAACGTATCCTCAGAACCTAGAACTGTGACTTGCTCATAGTAGATGCTTCAGAAAGAACTGACAGAATGGAACGAGCTCGGAAAATGCCACGTGAAAGAAAGCTAAACCCGTTTCTTTAACAAAGGACTCATCAGAAGGGTCAGCATGCAGATGAGTGTTGAATTAGCAGGAGGTGTATGGATTATATTGAATTGTCCTTTCCCCCCACTCCTCAATAGTGCTGGAGACTAATGGTCCCTGAAACACACCTTTTTTTTATGTTTATTTATTTTTGAGAGACAGAGAGAGACAGAGCACAAGTGGGGAAGGAGCGGAGAGAGAGGGAGACACAGAATCCAAAGCAGGCTCCAGGCTCTGAGCTGTCAGCACAGAGCCTGGTGCGGGGCTCGAACTCATGAACCGTGAGATCATGACCTGAGCCGAAGCCGGCGCTTAACCGACTGAGCCACCCAGGTCCCCCTCCCTGAAACACATCTTAAGAATTGTTATTCTACAGGTGCTTGGGTGGCTCCGTTGGTTAAGCATCAGACTTTGGCTCAGATCATGATCTCTTGGTTCGTGAGTTCGAGCCCCGAATCAGGCTCCTTACTGACAGTGTGGAGCCTGCTTGAGAGTCTCTCTCTCTCTCTCTCTCTCTCTCTCTCTGCCCCTCCCCCACTCTCTCTCTTTCTCTCTCAAAATAAATAAATAAACTTTTTTTAAAAAAAAAAGGAAAAGTGGGGCGCCTGGGTGGCTCAGTTTGTTAAGTGTCCGATTTAGGCTCAGGTCATGATCTCGCAGTTTGTGAGTTCGAGCCCCGCGTCGGGCTCTGTGCTGACGGCTGGGAGCCTGGATCCTACTTCAGATTCTGTGTCTCCCTCTCTCTCTGCCCCTCCTCTGTCTGAAAAATAAATAAAACATTTTAAAGAAAGGGAAAGAAATGCTATTCTAGCCCACATTGTGGAGGAGAAAGTGAATACCCATGTAAGATAAGGAATCATTTCAACTTAATACCTTTTTTCCCCCTTTTTTTGAGAACTGGGATGAGAACCAGCATTTTTTTTATCTACTGGTCCAGGATCACAGCTTTTCTCCCTGCCTTCATCATGTCATTCCCTCCTTCCCTCCTTTTCTCCCTCCCTCAAAGACATAATTATGGATACTATGACTAAGATATTCTGATAGGTTATGGATGTGCATGCATACACGTGTGTGCATGTGTGTGTGTGCTCATGTTCCAAAGATGGTGAGGCAAAGCTTCCATGGACTCACCAAACCTATCTTCTTTTTTCTTTCTGGACTCCTAGCGAGAACCCATTTTTCGGCTGAACAGTTAGGTGGGGCCATGTGACTCAGTTGCAACTCATGCAACGTGGGTAGAAATGATCTTCTCCAGCTCCTTGCTCAGAAAAGTCCCTGGTGAACCCTATGCTCCCTACTTCCTCTTCCAGCTGGACATAGAGCAGTGGTTCTCAGCGGAGGAGACATTAGACAATGTTTGGAGACATTTCGGGTTGTTACAACTGGGAGAAGGGCGACCTGGAAGCTGCACCACTGGTTCCTACTGAGTAGAGGCTGGAGATGTTGCTAAACACCTTACCATGCACACGTCCCAGAACCGCGTCATCTGGTCCCAAATGTCAACAGTGCCCAGGTTGAGAAAGTCTGAGAAAGAGGACCCTGCAAAGTATGCTGAGGCCCTGTGGGATGGTGGAGCCCCAGTACAGAAGGGGTCTGTGTCTCTGAATCACAACACAAGTGGCTTCCCATGAAACATCCACACTGAAGTTCTAGATGACATGAACCCTACCGAGTTCAGCCACTGACATTTAGGGATAGTCAGTCTATTACTAATACGGATGAACCAGACATCATCTCTGTCTTCAACCTGGAACCTCCATCTCTTGCTCTGGATCAGATTCTTATCCTGTATAATCTGACCTGGGCCATCACAGGGGTGAGGCTGGGAGACAGCAGAAAAGGCAGACTGCCATCTTTGAGCTTCGCCAATGGGCTGAGGCAAGTGGAGGTCCTTAAGTCACATTGTGTTGTCCACCCTTGGCTCTCAGAACTGTGTGGTCTTGGTTGAAGACCAAGTTGAAACCAGTTAATATCTGGAAAGTGTTTAGAAGTGGACCTGGAACATGGCTGCTCCTCGACCAACGTTAACTGTCATCATCACCATCACCATCACCATCGTCATCAATAATGCTCAGTCATGGGCACCACCAGTATGTGTGATGCTGGTGGCGAGGGGAGGGCAGACAGATGCCCCTGTACACAGGATTAAGATTATCCTTGGGACTTATTAGTACAAACCAACACATAATAGATACTATTAGCCATCTGCAAAGTAATCCAGCAGATGGTCTGATCTTCTTAACTGGGTTAAAATCCTCCATAATCCGGGCCCTGCTGACCTCTCTGTTCTCACTGCCTGATTAACATTTCCTTGACCTTCCTCCACGTTCTTTCTCGTCTTCGGCATTTGGCTCATGCCCTTCATCCTGCTCTTTTCTTTGTCCCTAGCTTTACTCCCTGCTTCTCATCCATACGACTTGGTTCAGCCTGGATTAATACTCTTCCACACTCTTATAATACTCTGAGATGATCTCTATAAATGTACTTATCGAATATTTAAAGAATATAATTATCTGCTTATGTGTCTATCACTCCCACTTGCTGTGAGCTCTCCTGAGAGCAGGGCATGAGTTTTATTTGTTGCTATGTTTCTGGCCCATAGCACAGTGCCTGGCACTCGGGAACCACTCGGCAAATGTGTGTTGAATAAATTAGTCCGTAACTATGTGCAGAGGAGACTTAGGGATACCAAGTTTCACCACAGGAATATGGATGTGGTCTCAGGAAGGTATGACCAGAAAGAGACACTAACTGGAAAAGCTGGCATTGTTCCTTGTCTGAATAAAATGTGGCTTCTTAGCCTTTTCAGGACTTGTCAGTTCTTTTGAGAACCCAGATCTTCTCTCTAGGAAAATGTCCATACATCCCTGTGACAGAGACTGCTGTGTGTTCAAAACCAGCTTCATCTTCCTGTCAAAGGTACTGCTAAAAACTACATTTCCCAGACTCCCTTGCAGCTAAGCACCCTGTGAGTTCTGGCCAATGGAAGTGGGAGAAAGTGACGGGTATCACTTCCTGCCCCCCCCCAAAAAAAAACCCTTCTCCTTCAAGATCATAAGACTCTTGATCCTCGTCTACCAGCTCCATGCAAAGAATCCACAGAGGACCCTGGAACCCTAGGGGATGGTGGAGCCCCACGGTGGAAGGTGCATGGATCCCTGCTAACCAGATGCTCCCCCATTGGACTTTGTAGGAACAAGAAATAAATTTTTTGTGTTAAGCTGCTAACAGTTTGGAGCTTCTCTGTTACAATAGCTATCCTCACTACCCTGGTAAATACACACCCTTTGAAATATGGAGCCAGGGTTTCATGAACTCTAGTGCTAGCCCAGTGACCTCAGCTTAGGAATTTCTGGAATACAGAATGTGGTCATTCAAAAAGGACTTCATGGAATTAAAGGGCATGAAAACAAGTGTTTTTTGAGCCTTATTGAAGGGAGAGGGCTCATCAGGCAGAAAAGGATTTTAATTGTGGAGAATGTTTCTCCATAGCTTAAGTGAACTATGACACAGGGTGTCTCTTTGTTCTCCTTCCATGTTTACCATACCATCTTGAGGTGGTTAATTTAGATTCCTAGATATATTGAGAAGTAGGCTCACATCCACTAGAATGGCTACTTTTTTTTAAAAGATCTTATTTTTAAGGAGCACCTGGGTGGCTCAGTCGGGCAAGCGTCTGACTTGGGCTCAGGTCATGATCTCACAGTTCGTGGG